AGTGCTGGGATTATAGGAGCGTACCACCACGGACAGCACAGCACACTTTTTGTTAAGACAGGGTCTCACTATGTAGCGGTGGCTTGGCTCAAACTTGCAGGAATCCTACTGCTTCAGCCTCCTGAGCGCTGGTGTCACAGGTGTGTGCTACCATGCTGGGCGATGCTCAAGTGTTTAAAAGATGGGCTTAAATGTAACAGAAGGCCCCACAATAGATCTGCCCACCTGAAAGCTGATTAGCAGTCCCATCCGACTTATAATAGAACAGAAAGCATCTTTCCATCATAGCAGAAGGAGTATCACCTGGTTCTGTGCTTGGCAGAGGGGCTGATGTCGCTGGACGGTGCGGCCCTGACGCTCCCCGTGCCTCCTTCACATTAACAGCCTCTGCCAGCTGTTCCGAAGCTGGGCTGCCTCTGCCCCCAAGCCTCCTGGGCTGGCTGTGTGCAGACCACCTGCTGCTAGCCACGTGGGACTCTGGAGGGGACACCCTGGAAAACCAAGTGGGGGGAACCATCACCACCAGAAAGATGCATCTGCATCCCGTTCCAAGCGACGAGGAGCACATGCTGCAGAAGCCCACGTGGCATCCCGGACCCTGCCACTACTGCAGGGCAGGGTTCCCAACCCTGGCTCCCCGCGGCGGGCCGAGCGACCTCTGCGCAGTTCAAGAGCTCGGCAGCCACGAATTCTGCACACTGTTCTGCCTGAGCCCAACAGCCCTGTGAGAGTCGACCTCTCGTGAAGACAGAGAGCAGTTAATGTTGATGTCTCTACAGACATTCTTTCTCCCTGATGTTGGCAGAATTTATAGAATCACGCCTCTTCTGCCTGGCAAATGCAAAGTCCTATTGATCCCTGGTGTTAAAAAAAAAAAGATCACCCCTCTTTCATATCTAAAAATGACAAGCCAACCTAGACCTGAGGGTTGCTCAGTGGAAAAGCAAGCGTAGAGATGCAGGGGCCAGGGTCAGAGCCGGCAACTGGGGGGTCTACCCTCAGCTCTTGCTACAGAAGCATTTGGAACTGGGCGCGGCGGCACGCACCTGTAATTCCAGCACCCAGGAGCCTGAGGCACGAAGATCAATTTAGAGTTTGAGACCAGCCTGGACTAAGAAGTGAGCTCAAGGCCAGCCTGAGCTGCATATCGTGACCGACAAAAGCACGTGGGTGCAGCAAGCAGCTCTTCTACTCTTCCAGGTATTAAGGGAAATAAGGTAATTATCAAGGCTGGGATGTAGCCTCACTGGCAGACTGGCCTAGATACATACGGGTTGATTCCCACGTACCTTAGATCGGACAAGAAAAAAAGGTTATCAACAGGTTTAAAGGGGATCACAGATTAACACACCGAAATAACTACTGAGTTCTTACTATGAGCCAGGTTATCACAGGCTTGGGGTCCAGCTCAATGGCACAGCACCTGCCTGGCAAGTGCAAGGTCCTGAGCTGATTCCCGAGCGCAGCCATCAAGGCTAGGCTCTGTGGATGAAGACAAGCAGGATCTGAACTGCTGCTGTCGAACTGCGTAGTAGAGGGCAGAAGCTCATCGCTTTGCAGTTTCCGGGACAGAAAGCTCCCTACTTAGCCTGTGGCAGGAGGAGGAGGAGGAGGAGGACCAAGAACATTTCATCTGTATTTTTTGTTGTTTTGAGGCAGGTTCTCACTATGCAGTTCAGGCTGGCTTTGAATTCACTAGGTAACCCTGGTTGGCCTCGAACTTCCAGCAATCCTCCTGGCTCAGCCTCCTGAGTGCTGGGGTGACAGGTGTGCACCATCACACCCAGCATTTGTCTTTTATTTTGTATTTTAGGGAAGGGTCCACAGGGTGTTCATGGTCTAACTACTAGATCGGACTCCTAGTGATCTGCCTGTTTACTGCCTCCCAAGAGCTGGGATTGCAGGCAGGCACCACCATGCCCAGTCTCAATTGCTGTCTCAGCGTGCCCCAGGGTACAGCCGGCAGGGCAGGCTGGGGATCAAACCCCTGTGCCCTGAGCCTGCCTGCAGGCACTTTAATCCACTGAACTATTTGGACAGCCCCTGTCTTTTAATAATGGGCTCACTTGGTTAAACTATCAGTGAGGTGCTGAATACCTATGGAAACTGTAGCAGGCCCTAGGCTGGCCTCAAAAATATATCTTTAGTTCCAAACTCAGAGGGCTTAGAAAAGATGGCGTGGTTAATTAGTGTTAATCTGTCACCATTTCCAAAAGACAAATTAAAAGCATATACAAGGGCCAGCCAAATAGCTCAGTGGCAAGTATGCTCAAGGGCCAGTTCCATCCCCAGGCCTGTCCTGCAGGCCCCGCCCCCAGGGTGCTGAGATGTGATTCAGACTGGGTGTGGCAGCCCACACTTTATGTAATCCCAGCTCTTCAGTAACCCCAGCTCTTGGGAGGCTGTAGACAGGTGGATCACTACGAGTTCGATCTAGTAGTAAGACCCTAAACACCCTGTAGACCCTTCCCTAAAATACGAAAAATAAATAAAAAAGAAAAAAAAATATCAATCAAAAGAAAACTTAAGGGGCTGGTGAGATGGCTCAGTGGTCTAAAGCACCTACTTAGAACAAGCTAAACTAAGCAAAGCACAGGGACCGCGGTTCGATCCCCCAGCACC